TCACTTTTCTGAAGTCTTTAACCTGACTGAAGGGTCAGTCCCGGGAGGCTGCTTGGAGGCTACATGCCCAAAGCTGAGCAGGGGCTCAGCTTTTCCCCATTTCACTACCCCCTGCCACAGCCACACTGTTACCTCTCAGGCCCCCTCTCCTGCTGATGTGCCTCTGTGTGACAAGCTGGTGGCACCCATCCAGCAGCAGAAGGCCTTTGCAAACACACTGCATCCCCCTGCACGGTGAGAGATTTGCATTGTGTAACTTCATTAACCTTTCCCTGCAAGAAGCCCAGCAAGGGCTGATGGTGACGAAAGCTGCAATGCTGCAGCCGAGGCTGGTATTGCTCTGTGATAAGTTTCCACTGCCTGAATTATTCTGTGTGTCTGGGAGTTGTCATGCTGGGCATGTGCACGGACAGGCCCCTTCTCCAGCCTCCCTGCGAGCAGCAGCAGCAGTTGTTCCCCCGCACGGCAGTCTATTCTGCTGTGAGATCTGTTCCTTCGATGGATCTCGGTGCTTCTGCTGGGGCTGAGCTCCTGGTGCAGCAGACGAGCAGGGTGTCTAGACAGTCGCGAGGGGGTTTGCAAGCTCGCTGGGCGCTGCTGTGTGCACCTGCCTTGTGCTCACCGCGAAGGGTCCTCCCTGTGAGTCCTGCAYCCCTCTGCAGAGCCCGCGGTGACAGAATCGCATCAAGGGCCGGGTCACTTGCGCTGCCCTCGGCAGCGTTACGGGCAATGGCTTTTCCCTGGAAGCCCCGCTCAGGCGCACGCACACACAGGGTTGTGCTGCGGGTCAGGCTGTCTCCCGAGGAACCACGCGCCCCACGCCGGGAATGCCTGGCAGCTGCTCCATGTGCCTTCCCGGGCATCCCTGGGCCCTGGTTTCCCTCCAGCCCCGCAGCCGGAATCAGCCTGCACGCTGTGCCGGGATGCTTGTTCAGGAGCCAGCTTGGGACAAAAAGATGAGCTGTTTTTTGGAGAAGCAAGAATTCCACGCTTTTTCAGTAATTCCCAATGATGACATCACCCRGCAGCCCTGTTCCACCGGGAAAGGCCGGTTCCCAAGGGCAGCCTCCCTGGAAGGCGACTGCCGCYGCCCAAGGAACCCGAGCGGCTGCTCCGCACACAGCCCTGCTAATGACTTGTAATTTTACGCCTGTTGCAAAGCTGACATTCCAACATAAATTATACAGCTCAGTGACTTGCAGGCAATGCTGGCAGCCCAGCAAGCACAAAGCCCCTGGCACCTCCTTGAAACCAGGGTGAAAATATCGGGAGACTTTGCACTGCGCAGAGGGATGGACAAAGCCATCGGACCCCGAGCCGACTCATATTTAAAACTAAGACCACTCTATTTGCTCAGTTATTATACTTAAAGATACATATATGTTGCTGAACCTCTATTTTTTTTTTCCTAGTGTAGGTTGTTTTGCAGCTTTTTCACTGAGTTGCAGGATTTGGATGGCAAACCATCAGAGAAGAGGCAGAGCACAGAGGCTCCCAATCCTTTTCTTCTGACATGATTGTAAGGAGATCGGAAGAGGGGGGAAAGGGACCAATAAAGTGAGACATTTCGGGCCACGCCACTCCACCTCTCCCAGCCAGCTGTCCCAATTACTGCAAACAGGCAAACCGGTTCAGACCGAGGATGACACAAGACTTGGACCCAACCTTAGGGCAAATCTGGTTATTTTTTTGTTTTTCCTCCTTTCCATATGGCTTTCTATGTCCTGTTTT